AAAAAAAGTCAAAGCCTTATGATGACTTACAAGACCTTCATGATCTAGCCACCCAAGAGCTCCCCCTTTGTTCATTCCACTCCAGTCTCACTGACATCTGTGGTATCTGGAGGCCTGCATACATTCTCTTACTTTATACCAGCTGCTCTCCCATGTGGAATCCCTAATCTCTAGGTTTCCACAGGCCTTACACACCCAGCTTTGTCAGATCATTATTCAACTATCGATGCAAACTTCCTTAGTCACCTTAATTAAAATTATAATTTCTTGACACTTAGTGTCCCCATTCCTTATTTTACTTTTTCTTTGTATTTGTCATTTGATTTTGAATAACTGAATGAGTATGGGAATAAAGATTAAAAAAATGTTAAAGGACAGAGTGCATGCTTAAGTTCCTCAGTCATATGGTGGAAGTATTAGTGTAGTGATATTAATTACTACTCTACCCTATTGTACCTCTCTTAAACTTAATTTATTAACTGGTCCTGAATATGCTTATTGCCTGTGGCTCTTCAATAGAAAGTAAGCTCCATAAAGGGAGAAATTTTTGTCTGTACTGAAATTTTTGTACTTTTCAAAAATAAGCTCCAGAGGAAGAAATTTTTGTCTGATTCTTTTCAGTGCTAATTTTGAGAGCATAGAACTGCATCTAGTACACAACTATTTAGCTTTTTTATTGAAACTATCTTAAAAAAATAGCTCAGACAATAAAAGATCTAAGTGTAAATTCTCCCTCCCTATTTAGAAGGTTAGCTTCATTTGCTAATTAATGGGGGGATCTCAGTAGATGAATGCTTTAATGGGAAAGGGATGAAATTTTGGTTCCTTACTAAATTTTAATTTCCTCCTACAAAATGAAAACAGGAAGTAACTATTATTGAGATAGCATCTTTTTCAATAAAAAATATACCCTGATATGAATGCTTCCCCAAAACTAACCACTATCTTGACATCTAACAATCACAGATTAGTTTTGCCTATATGGAGCATTACATAAATGAAATCATATAGTGTGTACTATTTTGTTTCTGTTCTTTAGTGAATTCTTCAGTGACTGTCAGTTCAAGCCTCTTGATCATTTTTCTACTAGGAAGCCTTTATAGATACTGGATAAAAGTCCTTTGTCTATTATAGGTGTTACAATTTTATTTTCCTACCCTGTAGTTTGCCTTTTCACTTTCTTAATGGTATCTTAGCAGAATTCTTAATATAGTCAAATTTATCAATTATTTCAATTATCCTTAGTGTTTTTATATTCTGTTAAAGAAATCCTTATCTACTATTGGGAAAATATCCTTCTATATTATTTCTGAAGGCTTTATTGTGTTGTTTCTCTTATTTAGATCTATGTAATATTTTTAGAATTGATTCTGTATGTGGTATGGGGCAGAGATCAAGTCCCCTACCCCTCACTCCTCATAAAGATATCTGACAAAGCACCAATAATTGAAAAGACTTGTCTTTTCCCCACTGTTCCATGGGGCCTCCCGTGTCATACCATATGTCCATATACTTATAAGAACATTTCAGGACTCTTTATTTCATTAGCCTATTTGTCTATTTATCTACCTGTATCATATTGTATTTTTAAGATAGAACTTGATGCTAGTAGATTAAATCTTTTTTTCTTTCTTTATTTATTCATATGTGCATACATTGTTTGGGCCATTTCTCCCCCCTGCTCCCCGCCTCCTTCCTCTCCTCGCCAACCCACCAACACCCCCTCTCCCCACTTTCAGGCAGAACCTGTTCTGCCCTTTTCTCCAATTTTGTTGAAGAGTAGAAATGAGCAATAATATGAAAGACAAAGTGTTTTTGCTAGTTGAGATAAGGATAGCTATACGGAGATACTCCTAGCATTGCTTCCATGTACAAGTGTATTACAACCTGAATTGATTCATCTCTACCTGACCTCTTCACTACTTCCCAGTCACCTTCCCATATTGACCTCTGTCATTTTAAGGTTACTGTATTAGCTCCTCTACAGTGGGGACATCAAATACTTTCAAGTACTGGGTTTCCTATCCATCCCCATTCTTCCTGTATGTACTCTTCCCTTAGCGTGTGACCCAAGTCCAACAACATTACTGCATTTGCCCTAAATCTAAAGTCTGCATATGAGGGAGAACATACAATTTTTGGTCTTCTGATCCTGGCTAACCTTGCTCAGGATGATGTTCTCCAGTTCCATCCATTTACTTGCGAATGATAAGATTTCATTCTTCTTCATGGCTGAGTAAAATTCCATTGTGTGTAAGTACCACATTTTCTTAATTCATTCGTCAGTAGTGGGGCATCTTGGCTGTTTCCATAACTTGGCTATTGTGAATAGTGCTGCAATAAACATGGGTGTGCAGGTGCCTCTGGAGTAACCTGAGTCGCATTCCTTTGGGTATATCCCCAGAAGTGGGATTTCTGGATCATATGGCAGGTCTATGTTTAGTTTTTTAAGAAGCCTCCATATTGTTTTCCATAGTGGTAGTAGATTAAATCTTATCTTATTTTCTTCTACCTTGGTTATTCATGGCTTATAGCATTTCTATAAATCAATTTGCTAATTTGCAGGTTTGTGTGTGTAGGGATAACATAATTCTGATCTTCAGAACTGAAAGATAATATTGTCTTCTAATGTATGATCATGGTATAGTCTTCCATTTATTTTAATCATTTTTATTTTCTTCCATTATAGTTTTTATAATTCTCTACATTTTTCTTTATGTCTTGAATATCTTTCATTAGATTTATTTTCCTTAGGTATTTATCTTGTAATGCTATGGTAAGTAAATATTCAAATTTTTTCATTTTGTATTTGCTGGAATACAGAAATACCAGCAGAAATACAACTAATTTTTGTATACTAACTTAGATTTTTGTTTCTACATGCATTCAGTCTATCTTGTTGACTACATTAAAGAAAAAAAAAAAAAAAAAACCTACTGAGCCAGATGCTGGTGGCTGATACCTGTAATCCTAGCTACTCAGGAGGCAGAGATCAGGAGAATCTTGGTTTGAATTGCCCAGGCAAACAGTTCCTGAGATCCTATCTAGAAAATACCCAACACAAAAGAGGGCTAGCAGAGTGGCTTAACTGGGTACAGTGCCTAACTAGCCAAGTGTGAGGCCCTGAGTTCAAACCCAGGTACCACCAAAAAAAAAAAAAAAAATCTACTGAAAGCACAAATCTTCTACCTTTTATCATTCTTGGGGACTGGCTTAGAATGTTAAATACACAATAATTACTCAGGGAAGCATTGGACAGAAAGAACTTTTGCTTAAAGACAAATCACCTGGAGATAAAAACAGACTAACAGAACAATTGTCTAATTGAAGATTAGGTTGGCATGTAATGAAGAATGACTCTAGAAGTAGTCTTTTCTCCCTCTCATATTTATGAAAATAGTTTCTGGTGCTAATTTAGGACAACCACTCTCAAAATGGTTGTGAATTGCCATGAGTTAGGGTGGCTACCAGACTTGTCAAAAACAAAAGCCAGAGGAATGGCTTTAGGACAGTCACCTTTGCCCCTCATCTTATTTGTCTTTGGGAGCAGTACCTGATCACTGTAGATATTTAACAACTTACTATATAGTTCTCTAAATTACAATGTAATAGTTCTTTAGACTATGATTATACTTCCTCAAAATCCAATTACTTTTGTGGGTCAAAGCTTGAATAGGCAGTTTCCTAGAGAAGTGGCAGAAACAGTTATCAATATAGCATAACTATAATGAAAACAAAGGACCTGAAAGATGACTACAACAGTTCAATGTATACGAAATAGGACTATAAAATGGTCACACCCAGATAGGCTTTCAGTAGAACTGAAGCCCACACCTACACTAGTTTCTTACATATGCTAAAGACATACAATGGAAATAAGATGACAGGAATATATGACCTGTCCAAATATGAACACTTGAAGAAAATATTTGCTAACTTGACTAATTTTTAGAAAAGCAACAATTGTTATAGAATATTAAGAAAAATAAAAGATAAATATTCTGATCGAGAGTTCTCAGCTCCATTTAGAAAATGAAGAAAAAAGCAAAACAAAACAAATAAAACTCCCCAAACCTTTATTTTAGAAAACATGATCCAAATCACAGTTTATACAATTAACCACTATAGGGGGAATAATCAATTATTTTACTTATCTACCAAGTGTCAATAACTAAAAGGCTATGGTTCACTAAGTATATAATAACACAGTAGTATAAAGCCCAACACAGCTCCTACTTTTCAAATTCCTTCATTATTTTAAATTGTATAATCCTTAAAATTATCTGGCTAGTTTAATTATTTAGATATTCCTTGTTAAAAATTTAAAAAACATCTAGCAGAACACATTTGGTGTTCTACATTTGACATTAATTCCTTTAGAATGTAACAGCTGAAATGGAGTTTTTATACACAAGGCCTCACACACGCTAGGCAAGTATTCTATCACTAAGCTATATGCCCAATCTGAAATGGGGTAGGAGTTAACATTTCTCCCTCCTGTCATCTACTCCAAACCATGGTTCTGACTGTAATTTAGGTGGAAAAGACAAAATTATATTAGTAAAATTAGCCTAATCTGATATTCCATCGTACAAGACATTAGGAGCTATGTGAACAAGGTATATCTAAAACACTCCCTAGTAGATTCCCACACATATTGATTTTCCTATGAATCTCTGTGCTTCAAAAATAGTACCAATGCTCTTTCAAAATCTAGAGCTGAACAACAAATACAGAAACAACATGTCATCCAACTTTATTAAGGCTAAATTAAACCTTACTCGCTAGCACTCAGATAAATTCCCTCTGTAAAATAACTTTGCTGTCCTTGGTTTTAAAGAACAGAACTCTCTGAAGACATCTAACTTTGGGTCAGCATGCTATTGGCTTCAATGCATTTATTTAACAGGAAACATGGAATGTTTTATTTTACTGTAATAGTATCAAGTCCACAAATCATCCAATAAAATCTAGGAATTTCTTTCCTTTCATTAGCTTACCTAGTTTAGCAGTGCCCTCTGGTGGGTACTCAGGAAACTGACCCTCGGAGGGGACGCTGACAGTTCTCCTCAGGCATCGACCTTTGGTAGAATCTGTCTGTTGCTCCTGTCCTCCTTCCACAGGTATCTAGTTTGCCAAAAGAAAAAGAAATTAAACTTAATAGTGAACTTGCCATAACTATTTGTGACTGAATAATTTTTGTGGTTAATGAAGATAGGAGTGTGAAATGAGTAAAGTAGAAGCGTAGAAATAAAGTATAAACAATGGTATGTTATTACCAGCCCCTTTTCAGAAAGCTTTTCTTTAAAAAGAAAACTGGAAGATCAAGAAAGGTGAGTATGTAAATTTAAGCTTACATGAAGTATGTACAAATCATATCCAGGTGTGAGCCTGCTCTTGGAGCTAAGGAAACAAAACACCCACACAAGTATAAGGTGTTTCTACATCAGAAACTGGCTCATGGGCTCCAATATTGCCCCATGTTTATAAAGGTACATGAAAATAAAAGGTAATAAGAAAGATTTAGCTTCAAAATTCTCTTAAAAGGAGGTACTTTATTAGATAAAGGTATTAAAATCACCCAGCTTTAATTCAATTTTAGAATTAAGTACCTTAGACATAATTAGTAAAACACATTTTCAGTGGAAATTTGTATAGATATCTGCACAGATGCCTACATAAAATAGCAAATTTTCTTTCAAAGGTGAGATTGTTTTATAATTCTAAAAATAATTTTTTTCTGGTATAGTTTCAGGAACATATGAAATGGTTGTTTGCATATGTAGAATGAGAATTATAAATGGTTAAAGGAATCTCTATACTCAGTAGGTTATCATTGTAAAGTAATGGGATGGCTCTAAGTTCCTTTTTTTTTTTTGGTAGTCTCCTTGCATTCATGAGAGTTATGTTCCAAGGCCCCAATAGGTACATGAAATCACTGACAGAACTGAACCCTATATATACTATTATTTTTTTCTTATACACACCTTAGGATAAAATTTGAGTTGTAAATTAGGCATAGTAAGAGATTAACAACAATTAATAATAAAAATAGAACAATTATATACTGTAATAAACATTATATGAGTATCTTCTCACTCTTTTATTATCCTCTCCCCATGTTTCAACATGCTTTCTTGTATTTCTGTCTTTTCACTCAATGGAAACTTTACAGTTTCTCCTTGGCATATCCAAATTGCTGGTATCCATATACTTATGCTTTATGGTTATTATTAAGTAAAATAGGGTTATTTGAACACAAGCACTATGATACCTTGATAGTCGACTGATAACCAAGATAGCTACCAAGTGACTAACAAGTGGGTAGCATATACAGTGTGAGTACTCTGAACAGTGGAAAGAGTCACATCCCAGGCAGGAGGAAGCAGGATAATACATTATTTCAACATACTATGCACAACTGCACATAACTTAAAACTTACAAATTGTTTATTTCTGGAACTTTCCAGGTTTTTTGTGGGGGGGTGGGATCTGAACTCAGGGCCTTGTGCTTGCTAGACAGGTGTTCTACCATTTGAGCCATGCCGTCAACCCTGTTTACTTCAGTTATTTTTTGAACAGGGTCTTGCTTTTATACCTGGCCAACCAGGACCTCCATCTTCCTATTAACACTTCTCACACAGACATGTAATACCATTCCAGATATTTTATTGACTGAGATGGGGTTTTGCTAACTATTTGCCTACACTGGCCTAAAACTGTTATCTTCCTGATCTCCGCCTTCAGGTAGCTAAATTACAGGCGTGAACCACTGTGTCAGGCTTCCACTTAATATTTTCAAACTGCATTGACCACAGATAACTGAAATTGTAGAAAGCAAAACCATGGAAAGGGAGGACTACTATAATGCTAAGTTTGAGGATAATGGGCAAAGACTTTTTATAAATGATATTTTACTGGTAACTTTTATCAAAAGAATTGTATTGACAATATCTTAAAGAGTTTGATAAAATATTGTTCCTAATTTCTCATGACTCTCCAACTGTTTTCAACAAATTTCAATAATAATGATTAACATTTAACAACTAATTACATGTGTGACATTACAAAAGGAGGCATTATACTTACTCTTTTTATTGATGATGAAAGAACTGATCCATCAAAACTGGGGCAAAAACAGGCTTACCTGTACATGATTCTGCTTTGCCTGAGTAATTCAACTCCAGTGACTGGGGTCAAGGAGAAGATAACATGAGAAGTGCTCTCTCTCTCTCTCCTTTCTCTCTCTCTTTCTGTTACTAAGAATCTGAAGAACAACTTTCTAAGGCCTCCATGAGAACTGAAAATTTTCCTACTCCTTATAGGACCAAATATTCCCCATCTCCTTGTTGCTATAACTGTGGTTACTCTCTTTGCACACTGAGAAACTGAAGGACAGATTTAAGAAAGAGAAAATTCTAAAATTAGGCTAAAACCACAGAACATCCTCAATAAAGATATAAACTCTTCCAAAAGTACTCTGTAACATAAAACTTCATGAGCAGTAATCTAAGTCATCCATCCCTTTCAAGATATAAATTATGTTATCTCTATTTAAATAATTAAAGTAGCATTGAAACGTGATATGACACCCTCCTACTAAGAAGGGCAAAAATGTATCCTCTACTTGCTTTAAAAGATGAAGGAAAGAGAGTAAGTTTAGAAAAGAAAGAAAATTTGAATCCTTAAGCAAATAGTTGAATATAAATAAACAAAATATTTTGATATAATTGTAAAAATGCCTATTATCTGAAATAATAAAGGTTTAAGCTGTACAGGAAAAAAGGTAGTAATTGTTTATGGTGTTTTAGAAGAGGGGATAATTCTTCTGTGGAAATTTATAAAGGCCATATTCATGAAAAAGGGATTTTTTTTCTTTACTATATACTTTGTCTCCACAACTTCTAAAGGGAAAATAAAGTACATTAAACTTCTTAATTAGGTCTAAAATTCACTTACCATTCTTAAAGTTTAAATGTAAATTCTTCATTTCCTACCAAAGGTTTTATTCAAAGTATTATTACTCCTAAAGGTTAGGTCATTTTACCCCTGACTCAGGATAGATGGGAAAATGCTAATCTTTATTGTAAATCTGAACTTCTTAAAAATATTTAATTTTATAACACTATAAACTGTTTCTCAGTTAAAATATTTTTAAACATGTTGATCTACTTCTTTAAAATTGGACAATCACAATTCAATTACCTTCAAATGAGCCAAATTGGAGTTCACAAAAATCTTACTGTTCTGCTAAAGAGCAGTTTTCTCTATTCTAATTGTCCTGCTTTACACATTTACTTGTTTACACTGAGTTGCTCATAAAAATTTATATATCTTCTAATTTCTATAACATGAGAGGGCTTCTGTTTTATTTTTAAAAACACTTTGGCCTTATGCTGGTCTTTTGAGTCCTCTTTTGCATCAATAAAAAAAATCAAGCACTTCAATTTCATTCCATTTTAGAAGAGAAAAGTAGAAAAATTGTAAGGAATAACTAGCTTCTCAGTATCTAAGATGTGTTAAAAACAAAATTAAATTGAATCTCTGACTCCTAAATTCTCTTTGCTAATTCCAAACTAACAACTGAAAAGCAAGTGGCACACATAAGATTTACTTATACATACATACTCATATACTCTCTGAAAAATTATCTTTTGTTTTGTTCAGAATCATGGAAATAAACTTTAATTCAATCTAAGCTCATATAGATTAAATTGCCAAGAACTGGAAATCATTATTATACTAACTAGCATTTGAAAACTCTTTTCAGGTATTTTTTTTCCTAAAGAATAATTTAAAAAAAATTCTCAGTTATAATTATATCCTTAAAAGACTCTTAATCCTGGTAAAGAAAGAAAAACTCTTCAACTTTCTCATCTCCTTAAGGCAGTGGTTCTCAAATAATTGTGGCCTAGGTACCAACAATCTGAGCTTGACCTGGGAGCCTGTTAGAAATTCACATTTACAGTCCCTATCTTAGACCTGCTGAATCAGAAATTGGTGGAGGGGAGGGGGTAGAGATGTAGCAGGCTTCCAGTTGAATCTGGAGCTCACTGAGGTTGAGAGCCACTGCCTTTGGGTGTTGTTTTCTTTCCTTCCTGTCATGGCTAAGCATCTCCATGTATCCTCCGTAACAAAGGTTCTCACCTTGGCTGTAAACTATAACAACCTAGGAGAGGTTTAAAAAATACCAATGTGTAGACCACTCATGGGCATTCTAGGCAGGCAAAGATGAGGACCACTAATCTATTCTCAGAATCTCTAGCTTTAATTCACTTATTAATCCTTAGCCATCAGTAGCACATGTGGAGGCACAGATAGATCACTTAGATTTATTAAGCCTCAATTTCTACATTCTTGAGGTATAATTTGTATGAGAGAGAGAGAGAGAGAGAGAGAGAGAGAGAGAGAGAGAGAATGACTGGGGTTTGACTCAGGGCCTCAGTAAGTGCTCTACCATTTGAGTCATACCCTCCAGTCTCTTTTGCTTTGGCTTATTTTTTCAGACAAGGGTCTCATTTTTTACCATGGCTGGCCTTGGACTACACTCTCCCTATCTCCATCTCTGGCACTGCTGGGATTGCAGATGTATACCAGGTCTAACTTGTTTTTTAAGATGAGGTCTTGATAACTCTCCCCCTCCTCCCACAAGTCTGATCTTGAATCTCACCTTGATTCGCCAATCTCTACCTCTAGTATTTGGGATTACAGGTGTGAACCACTATGCTAGCCCTTGAGGTATGATCTTAATGATATCTCAACTGGATTCCTGGGGGTTAAGGTTTTAAGAGTCTCTCACTGGCAGAGTCAAGTCTCTATCAATGTTCAGCACAACCATGACAATCTCTATTATGCTCTCAACCCTTCAGTTGCACCCTAGAAAGTCTTTCCCTGCAAATGCATGGTGCAGCCCTTGGCCAAAGACTCTCTGGTACCATCTAGCAGATTGAAGCCCCTTCATATCCCACAATCTGTTCTCTGCCTCATCAGCTTAGGCTCCAGATTACTGTGTCCCAGTCAGGAAATGGTATACAGCAGATAGCTGAGGTGAAGGTGACCATACAGTGTAGGAGGACCTACTTTTGTTGTTCACAGAATGAGGCTAGTCTTGTGCCAATTAACTCTCT